AAAAAAAAAAAGAATATTTTGAATTCCATATTCCTGAATGGTGATAAATTTATGGTTTTATTTTGGTTCTTTTAATTTTGTTAGCTATGCACTACATTTTTTATCATCTTTTGTACGGAATTTTGTGTTTTTCTATCTTCAGGCTGGAGTATTGTCCGGAGATGTCAGTGACATTGTTCTTCTGGACGTGACACCTTTATCTCTTGGTTTAGAGACATTGGGTGGCGTGATGACAAAGATTATTCCAAGAAACACCACACTGCCCACCTCTAAATCAGAGGTCTTCTCGACCGCAGCAGATGGTCAGACTAGTGTCGAGATCAATGTTCTGCAGGGTGAAAGAGAATTTGTGAGGGACAACAAATCATTAGGAAGTTTCCGTCTTGATGGAATTCCACCAGCACCTCGTGGGGTACCACAGATTGAAGTCAAGTTTGATATTGACGCCAATGGCATTCTCTCTGTTACTGCAGTGGACAAGGGTACTGGAAAGAAGCAGGACATCACCATTACAGGGGCTAGCACGCTGCCCAATGATGAGGTGTGTTTCTGTAGATCCTTGTCATTTTTCAATTTTTGGTTCTGATCTTGTTTAGCTCATAATGAATTCAATGATAATTCAAGTACTAAGGTTGGATTTTAGGTTAGAAACTTGCTCCACTAATGGTCTTGTGCTAACCTGTTTTTTTATTTTTATTTTTATCTACTTATTTTTATATCATTCAATGTCATATAGGTGGATAGGATGGTAAAAGAGGCAGAGAAGTTTGCAAAGGAAGACAAGGAGAAGAGAGATGCCATAGACACCAAGAACCAAGCAGACTCTGTAGTGTATCAAACTGAGAAGCAGTTGAAGGAGCTGGGAGAGAAGGTTCCTGCTGCTGTTAAAGAGAAGGTTGAGGCCAAACTCAAGGGGCTCAAGGATGCCATCTCTGGTGGATCAACTCAGAGCATCAAGGATGCAATGACTGCTTTAAATCAGGAGGTGATGCAGCTTGGTCAGTCCCTCTACAACCAGCCTGGTGCACCTGGCACTGGCCCAGCACCTGGTGCTGATGCTGGTTCTACCGGCGGAGCTAGCAAGGGACCCGATGGTGGTGATGTGATTGATGCCGATTTCACTGATAGTAAGTGAAGGTTTTGAGGGAAGGCTGTGAGATGATTGTTTATTTAATGGCGAAAAATTGCATTAAGTACTGAAATAAACTTAATTGCTCTTTTTGCACACATGTTAGGGGCCATGTATTTGTACTGCAGCTTTATATGACTTGCTCACCAATTGTGGAATTTTGATATTAGTGTAGTTAGAAAGCTGGGGTTTTAAGCATGTGTAGTGTTTTGCAACGGTTCTCCGTATGATTTATGGCATATTTATTGTTTTTCCGTGAACAGTAGCATTTTTTTTTTGGTTTTTTCAGAAGAATTAAGCCTTAATAAACTAAGTAAGATGTTTTTAAATGGTTAGGCTAAGATTGATGATGAAAGCTGTAGAAACTGCACTGAGATGGAAAACAGTTTTGGAGACTGGAATTCTTCTGGCCAATTTTGAGTTCTCTTCACTTTTTCTTTATTTTTGTTGGCAAGAAATGATGCTAAATGTAACGGTTTGGAGCTTATGGTCTTAAATTCGATTATTCATCGACTCGCCAAAAATAAGATGATTTCGGTTGTGCTAGTTTTGATTCCATAAAAATTCTTTATATGAGAATTTCATCCGACAAATAATATGGATTTTGAATTTGTGAAATTAATTGCAATATCATAAAATTGTTTTAAACATCGAATTGATTCAATAACACGAGGATGTGGAAATTATTTTTT